GGGTGCCGCCGGCGGCGCTCCGCTGCGGGGCAGCCACGGGCGGGCCGGGTTTGCGTTTGAGTGGAAATCTGCTGTCTGAGAAGGTTTCAGATACTCGTTTTTTGAGGAAAAACTTTCTTTCCTGTGAGGGTGACAGAGCACTGGAACAGGTTGCCCAGAGGTGGTGGCGTCTCCTTCCCTGGAGATATTCAAAACCTGCCTGGACGCGATCCTGTGCAATGTGCTCCAGGTGCCCCTGCTTGAGCAGGGGGGTTGGACTAGATGATCCCCAGAGGTCCCTTCCAACCTCAGCTATTCTGTGATATAAATTCATATGCGCTGCTCAGTACCGCAGGGGCAACTTAACGTCAGGGCCTTGGGAACAACAGTGAGTTTTCTGTGATGTGGGGGAGGAGTCCCTGGGGCGCAGGTCAGCGCTGCGCAGAATTGCAGGCTTGGGACAGTGTGTTTCTGCCTGCTCTAGAAGATAGTATCAGGCCAGGAGACCCTGCCTTTCAGCACCTGCACTGCTCTAGTCATGCTGCTTCTGGCTATGGAGTTAACATGGCACTGTCTTGTGGATTGCTACCTAAGTTGGGCGAGTAGGGGGAGCTTCTAATCTGTATTTTAACATGTGGAATTGATGAGCTAGGCAACACATGGCTCCATAGGAATCACTGAAATGTAAATGTGAGCTTACCTGTGTTCATCAGATGCAAACCTTCCAGATGATGCATAAATGCAGTTGTGCAAATATTAACCACTGTGATAAAAAAATTGCAGACAAAAACAGTAAATCAGATCATTTCAGGTGGGCCAGTTAAACAGTGAAAAGGACGGATGCCAGCACTTAGAATTTAAATTGTAATTTTTGAATGGGATTGTGAATCTCGTAACAATGACCTCATTTTGGGGGGGGGGAGGAGAGGTATGATTGACCATCCTCTTTCCGGCAGTACTGTACAGATTCTTATAATGAAATATTAAAAACATCTGATTATTTGTGTAAAAGGAAATTGAGCCATGAGGTATTTGGTGATGAGTAAAAGTTCTATTAAAGTACTATTAAAAACAATCTCTGCCAGCAGGGGCGTTATATTTCCAGATTATTTTGTGAAAGATTTGCTTTAAATAAGAAATAGTGTACTTACAAATCTGAACATTTGACCTGGGAAATATTTATTTTTCAACAACTTTACTAAGGAGGGAGTGACATTAATAACAGACTTCTCATATTTGTATTTTTAAGATTCTTTTTACATGTTCAGAAAGTCAAGATAATAGTTGTTTTGAAAGCAGGCCTCTATATGGTTGAAAGGACAGTCCAACTGGTTTTAATCTGTCATAGTTCTAAGAAACCTGAGCACGAAACCACAGTGGAAATCCCTTATATTATGTTAGCAGAAAGTTCTAGTGTCTTCTTGACTAAAATGAAAGGTATTCAAGGGTAATTAATGGAGAACAGAAGTTAGGTGCGTCTTTATGAACACAAAATTTCCTGGTTTTTCTTTTTATCCTGTTCAGTCCTTGAATTTGAACATGTCTATCTTGAAAATCTTCCAAGCGCTTCAATGTATGAACGCAGTTACATGCACAGAGATGTCATTACGCATGTAGCATGTACTAAGTAAGTCTCTTTTTTTTCATAGTATATTGTTGTCAGAAATGTGTTCTTGTATATGATGGGAAATTTTCATTGTAGAACTTTAATAACAGAAAGTTATTATGTTCAGAGGTGGTATTTTAAGGTTTTCAAAAACTAAACATAAAGAAAAGAGCTTACCAAGAAGACAACTACATAGACTAAAGGGGCTTTTAAAATCCTTGTTGCAATATGTGCAGAAATAAGAAATTGGCTGTGCATACAGTAAAATATGATCCAGCAGAACTGGCACCAGTTGAGGAAATAGCTTTCTTCTCTTACCTTTAAGATATATGTAGAGAGAGATTTATTAGTGAATAGTAACTACTGTAAAATCAAACCTAAAAGATTAGTAAAATGTACAAAATCAAAAGGAACTGTGTTAGTTATGTCTTAAATTCAGGCTATTGGCCTTTTACAGATTAACCTAGAGCGTGTTAAAATACTTGTTTGCTTTTTCAAGATTGATAGTGCCCATTCAGACAGATTGTCACAGTAATTTGTTTAAAGTTCATTCTCTTTACAGCAGTAATTGTAGTGTCTTTATGCAAATTATTGCCCAGAAGCAGTGTGGAAGTGCATTACATGTGAATTTCTTTCTTTTCTTTTCTTTTCTTTTATTTTCTTTTTGCAATTGCAGGACAGATTTTATCATAACAGCCAGTCATGATGGACATGTAAAATTCTGGAAAAAAATAGAAGAAGGGATTGAGTTTGTTAAACATTTTCGTAGTCACTTAGGTGAGATATTACTTTTTCATTTTTAAAGGAACATGGTCCCCACCCCCCTTGCTTAGTGGTTTGAACAGGTAGCGCAAACCAAGAGGAGAGGAGTTCTGGGATTCATCTATTGCAGTCAGGTATAAAGTGATATCCATCTAGGTCCCTTCATTCCTCTGTCCTGTTTCATCCTGCTCCAAACTGCAGGAGGGACAGGATGGAAACAAAACTTGGTGAGTCGTCTTGTCCGGATTCCCTACATCCTTTGCATTACCTTGTGCCCTATTTTTGGGGAGAATGTCCAGGACATGGAGAGAGTTTCTATTTAGAAATAAGTGAAGAGGGTACATAAAATCCAAAAAAGATTGAAAAGATGTTACTTTAATAGGATACCTTCCTCCCTCATCATCTCTTCATGAAGTCAGGTCTTTTCACTTTGCTGTGGTGAATATTTCTATTTCACATAGACTTTTTTTTTTTTCTATAATATATTTATTTTCCTCTGGAATTGTTGTAACCATAAAGTAACATGCATCAATGGCATGATTATTAGTTGAACTGCGGTTCCAGTATTTTAACCCTATTTTATGGGCTGAGTACACACAGCTCTTCTGTACTATGCTAAGCATAAAACAGGCCTGACAGAACATTGAGGTACTTACTGCTATTGGAAATGGTGATCTACCTGATAGAAGAACAATTTATATGCAGCCTGTAACAATAAGAAAGATAATAATAGTAAATAGTAGAAGTAATGTTTCTATTTAATGTGAAAAATTGTAATGGTAGGTTCTTGATCTTAACTATCAGCATCTCTGTATATTCAGAAACAAAATGTGAGAATGGAGCCTACAAAGCAAAAGTAAGTACTGTGATTAAAACTTGTTGAAGGCTCATTTACAGAGAAATTTTGATTGTTATGCATTAATATCATGACTGTAATGGTTTCTAGAGTTCTGCTGCTTTCTCTCTTTTTGAGAGATGCAAGTCTAAACTTTTTTTTTTTACAATATTGTAATGTTGTTCTCAATGTTTTTATAATAAACATTTTAAATGAAAATCATTGTAATTATAATGTTCCATTTATGCAGAAGCTAAGCAGTTCATTATTACTTGGCTGCTTCCAACTTCCAAATAACGATAGAATACAAAGTGGATTTAAAAAGATGTAGGATTTTTAAATTAAAAAAGGTTGAGAAACAGCTGTAGGTGTCTGTATATTTTTAATTAGTGTCTGTCTTCCTTTTTTGTGGAGTATTGAAATGAAGAATGTCTATTTCCAGTGTCTTAATAATACGCTAACTTTTTTTTTTTTTTTGGTAGGAGTTATTGAGAGTATTGCTGTTAGCTCAGAGGGGGCTTTATTCTGTTCAGTTGGAGATGACAAAGCAATGAAGGTGTTTGATGTGGTAAATTTTGATATGATCAACATGCTGAAGCTTGGGTAAGTTTCTTAGTTCTTGAAAAACATTTTTTTGGTCGGGGGGACTATGAAGTGTTTGGGGTTACATTTTTTTTCTGAATGTTTTACGTGAGTTTTTTTCAAGTCAGACTGAGCTAAGCAAGCTGCATTATCCAAAATGCCTCCATGGCTTGGAGATTGCCTGGTTGAACAAACAAAATTATGAGTCTGTATGTACCCTTCTTAAGAGTAGAAGAGGTTTATGCCTTTCTTCTGTGTCAGACATTGTTACCAACAAAGATATGGGGTTTCTCAAAATGTGTAAAGTTAGGCATCATTTTTTCTGCTATCTGGCACTGAATTTAAAAATCATAGCTAGCTAGTAGTTCCAGTATAGGAGGAGCTGTTGGAGCTGCCCTTTTTGTTGACTTAGGGATAGCATTTTCCTTCTTCTGTTAAAAAGAACATTACTGTCTTCCTTGGTGTTGCTATTACAGATTTTCTCTAATTACACAGTATGTAGTAGAAGAATTTGGAAAAAACAGGAATGGATCTTATTGGAACAATGTCAAGAACAGGGGAAAATAAACTCCCATGTTTTTACAAGAGTAGATTTGGAAAATGGGAGAATCAAAGGATGCTATACTAAGAATGGTTGAAAATCTGATGTTTCCACAGTCCTCCTGAAATCAGAAAATATTTATTCCTTGTAGTCTACTATTTGTTGATTAATTCTGAAATTGAAAAAAAGTCTGAATATTTTTGAGTTTATTATTGCCATAGCTCTCCTGATTGAAAGAGTGGTAAAACTTTCACTGCTTTGAAAGAGGTTAAAATAATATAGTGTCTGAATATCTTTCGGAATCCCTGTCTAAATGCTTATATTAGCTTCTTTGCTTGTGATGGTGTTGGTAACATTATCTCCAGATAATGTACTTAGCCCATAAGAATAGATTCTCTCTTGTCTGTCTGCCGTGGAAAAAATTCCAGTTAGCCTTAATCTTTAGCCTTTGCTGGTGTTTTGTGCTTAATAGTCTTATGTTATTACTACAAAGTTGACAAAATTGTAGGACAAAATAGAATAAATTTATTTTTAAATTGATTTAAGAATATATACCTTCCTGTATTTATTCCACTGTTTAATTAAAAAAAACTTAATTTGACACTATACTAGAGGACTTTTTTTTTTTTTTTTTCTCTTTGTGAGCATTCAGGAGAAATTTAGGTAGAATTTTTGTTTGTTTCGCTTCAGCAGTACCCTGAATACTACCTATAGGTAGTATACTTGTCTATAGTATGTCCCTGATTTGTTTTCTCTAAATAGTTTTTCTCATCTCCAATAATTAAGACTTTTTTAAAGGTTTTTTTTTATGTCCTTCCCCTCTGATACATTTTTTTTTTGCAGAGATAATTCGATTTGACCTGAAGTTAACTCTTTAATGAAGAAGTGAAAAGCATACAGTTGTAATACAAATGTCGTTCTGAATACCCTTCTAAAAATCTGATGAGCTTGTTGCTTTATGTTCTGCATTACTGTTTATTGAGCAAATAGTTTCTGTTGACCTGCCTGAGAAATTTTTCACAGCTGTTTGCTCAGGCTTGCTACAGTTAATGTAGAATTCATCATTTCTGTGTGATCCTTTCAACTTGCGTTATCTTGCATTGTCTGCTTTGATATGTATGTGCCATTATGTTTCGCCATTGTTTGGCTTCATCTCAAATTCTTCAGACCCTTTCAATTTTAACTAATCTATCCAATGTAGCCATCTGCAAATCCCCATGTTTTATGTTTCCATTAGTGATCTGGAGAAGGGCTAGTTCATGCAGAAATTTTGGGTAATAGCACACAGAGTAATGGGATATCACGCTTACAGCAATTTTTTTGCCTCCTATCCTCTTCTGTGAACCTGACAAAAAGCGCTGGTTCTGTTACTGTAACCACCCCTTTTTCCAAAGAAAACCTGAAATAGCCCTTCTGAGAATTTTTGCCAGACAGGTATTAAAAAACCGAATGATTAGTATCTGTCAGTTCTTAGTGTTTGTTTTGTGAAAGAATACTAAATAAGTTTCCTATGGAGTGTGTATCATATCTTTGTGGTCTGTCTTGTAGTTGTAGTTTCAATTCTGATGCTCAGAATCTTTGCTTAGAGACTTTAAAAACAGTCAGAGATATGGTCCAAAGTTATATCTTATTTTATTTATAGTGTACGCTTTTTGCTAGTAGCAAAGGCATTCGTTATCAAATTCATTCAGAATACTTACAGAATACAGCCTGGTTGTCTTAGGATCACTGATTTCTTGCTAATAAATGTATAAGTGTTTTGATTACTTTTTGCAAGACTCAGCTGTACTTTTCCTTAAGTAGATGGCAAAAGTGTGGTTGTCGTCATTTGCACTGAAGTGCTAATCGCTTTCCAGGCAGAAGAGAAATGCGATTGAGTCATAGTAATTGAGTTGTAAGTAATCTTTAATGCCACCAGTGTTGTCATGTTGGATTTCCATCCTTTTCCTTCTTTTTTACCCACACTCTTCTACCTCAGCTTTCTGTCACAGCCTCTTTATGAAACAATGTGGGAACAACAGAGATTGGCTAACTGATCCATCCACTGATTTGTGTTGCTTCGAACAGCTTGGTCATAACACCATTCAATTTTAGCAGGTCAGATAGTAGCAAGACTAGTAAATAAGGTTCAAAATCTGCTTCTTTTATACTATCAACTTGAAATCAAGTAATTCAGTTCTTACCTAAGTAAAACCAATCCTTCTTATTTCTTTTATGTTTTTTTTTTCCTTCTACTCTTTCTTGCAGCTACTACCCTGGTCAATGTGAATGGGTATATTGTCCTGGAGATGCCATATCTTCTGTTGCCACATCTGAGAAGAGCACAGGAAAAATATTCATCTATGACGGACGAGGAAATAACCAGCCACTTCATGTTTTTGATAAACTCCATACATCCTCTCTTACTCAGATACGGTTGAACCCTATCTACAAAGTAGTAGTGTCTTCTGACAAATCTGGAATGATTGAGTACTGGACTGGTACTCCTCATGAATATAAATTTCCCAAGAACGTGAACTGGGAGTATAAAACAGATACTGATTTATATGAATTTGCTAAATGCAAGGCTTACCCATCCAGTATAAGTTTTTCACCTGATGGCAAGAAAATGGCTACTCTTGGGTCTGACAGAAAAGTTAGAATTTTCCGGTTCTTGACGGGGAAGCTCATGAGAGTCTTTGATGAATCTCTGAGTGTGAGTTCAGTCTTGCTTCTCTTTTTTTGAGGATTTTTGTCTATTTATTTGAACTTATTTACCAGCACATTCCACCTACATGATCACCGGTTTCTAAAAGTTAAGCTTCATTGCTGTGTTTTCCTTCCAGAGAGGTTTTCCCTGTTCTCTTCCTTGGCTTTTACATTGGTCGGACCAAAAATTATTTCTTACTAATTTGTATTAGCTGTACTGTGGAACTGAGTTCTTCATTTGCATTTATATTTTTTGTATTGCTAGACTTCACACATTTAATTGTTTACATTATTATGATTTTATTTAATGAAGAGATCTTCAAAGAATTTTGTTAGATAGCTACATACTTTTTCTTCTTTGTCTGAGGCCTAAGTACTGCGATATGCCTATTAATTGATCCAAAAAAAAGGCATTAGTTGTGTATTTTAATTCTTCAGGTAATTTATAAGAGCTGATTAGTCTCATTGGAATTCCATATTTCCTAAGCATGTGTATAGGTTCTTGGCTGGGTCAAAAGTTTAAAGTATGTTCGTACTGTAAGTGATCTTTTTCCCCCCTGCCTCCCCGTAGATGTTTACTGAACTTCAGCAAATGAGACAACAGTTACCAGACATGGAGTTTGGCCGACGCATGGCTGTTGAGCGTGAGCTGGAGAAAGTGGATGCAGTAAGATTAATTAATATAGTTTTTGATGAAACTGGACATTTCGTTCTCTATGGAACAATGTTGGGAATTAAGGTCATAAATGTAGAGACTAACAGGTAAGTTACAGTGAGACATATGGAAATAGATGTTTGTTTCAAAGTCTATACTCGTTCAAAATTCTAGTATATACGTGCTATGACTGTGGATGCTACTAATTTTTTTATTTTTTTAATTTTTGCTTGGGAGCCTTAAATTAAACCATAGATAAAATTTTCCCACGTTTATTAAAGAGCCGTGGTTTAAAGTGTAATAAAATGAGGAGAAAATACGGAAAGGGTTTTGATACTAAAATGTATAATCAAGTAATTTATGGCTAACTGGATGTAGTAACATAAAGTGAATGTGGATGAACGGAGTTGAGTTTTTATGGGGCAGGGTGATTGACTAGTAAATTATGTAGGAAGTTTGAACAGCGAAGCATTGTAAACAATCTATAAAAACAAACTAAAAATTGCTTTGAGAAGGCTTTAGGAATTTTGATTTGAGTCTTTTGCAGTCAGAGAGGAGACTTTCTGACTGTGTCATGAGCAGATAACGGTAGTTATACCTTTTTACATCTTGTACTTTAGGTGTATTCGTATCTTGGGCAAACAAGAAAACATCAGGGTGATGCAACTAGCTTTGTTCCAAGGAGTAGCAAAGAAACATCGTGCTGCAATCACTATAGAGATGAAGGCATCTGAAAACCCTGTTCTCCAGAACATCCAGGCAGATCCGACAGTAATCTGCACAGCTTTTAAAAAAAATAGGTTTTATATGGTATGTGGTTTCTATTTGAACAACTCCATTCCTTACTATGTTTTTTCATGTATTATTTTTTAATTTTCTCCTTTCTAGTGCTTTTTGTATTGAAGAATTGCACACGACTTCTCCAGAGACATCTCCTTAAATTACAAATATATTCTAGAATTTTTAGCTTGAACGGACTAAAAATTGACTAGAAGGAGATTTGTGGTCTTTAGTTTTGTTTTCGCTATTTTGCTCAAGCAGTTAAAAAAAAAAATTTGGATGTCTTTGTCTAATTTATAGTTCTCTGAGAAGCGCATAGGCTTTTGGTTTAGCTTAAGAAACTTACATAAGAACATTTTAAAACCCTGACCAGATCTTACACCAATTAAAAAGCAATAATTAAGCATGTGTATAAAATATATAACAAGCATAAAATGATTAACTTAAGAGAAGCATCAGGACTCTGTAGCACTGAAGTGCATTACGGATAAGTAACAAAGACTGAAGTCGTCTTCCTCTTCACGCTCAGATTTTGAATGAGATGCAGTAAATAAGCAAAACGGACAAGCAATTCTAGAGTAGTTCATAGTTAATCTGGGATGTGATCACAGTAGAGGTTAGAGGTCAGGCCCTCCCTTGTCTTATTTGTGCTTGAATTGGTTTAGGTTACAGAGCAAGATGGTATACTACTTAAAACTTTCTGCGGTTACTTTGTGTGGTTTGTGTAACTTTTATATAAGGTAGTACACCACTCTCAGCAGTACAGGTGAGGAAGAAAAGTTGGAAAAAATCTGGAAATGTTATATACTCTTAGAGAAAACATGACTAGGCAGCAAATTAATGCATGCAAAAATCTGGTGACTGCCATTTGATATGTAAGTGTATTGGTGGTTGTGTGCTCATTGATATTTACTGCATGTCTTGCTCCTTTAAGAACTAGTGTAAAAACCTCATTTCTGAGATTTGTCATATTTTGAGTTAAATTTGCTTTTGTGTCTGTAGTTTTACATTAATGCAGTATTGGTATAAGAGAACATACCATGTCTTTGCAGTGAAACCAAAAGACATGCCAGTTCCATCTGAACAGAATGGAACACCTCGACATTCTCCACTCCTCTCTAAAAAACAGTGCTGAACTAGTGCGGGCTTTATGGTGAAAAGGAGAGGAGGTAGAAGATACAGAGAGATTAGAAAAAGTTACTGGGATTTACAAGTAGTTGTCTTGCAATTTGTGACTCTGGGAGTGCTGATAATGCACTTAATGTGCTATGCAAAGATTTGTGAATTCTTTGTCCACATTTCAAATCCACTTGGGTGTTTAGCAGGCTGAATGGTCACACTGATGTCTTAGGTGCAGAGCACACTGTAAGATAAAGAAAAGGAATAGTAACCTTCTGGGTTTTTGTTCTTCAGTTTACTAAACGTGAACCAGAAGATACAAAGAGTGCAGATTCTGACAGAGATGTGTTTAATGAGAAACCTTCTAAAGAAGAGGTCATGGCAGCCACTCAGGCGGAAGGTCCCAAAAGAGTTTCAGACAGTGCCATTATCCACACAAGCATGGGAGACATTCATATCAAGCTTTTTCCTGTTGAGTATGTATTTGGTACTTTTCCTGTTACTCTGTTGCTCCTTCCCTCTGTGTTCTCCAGTATCTGTATCCAAGAGATGCATTCCAAGCTAGGAACGGTTCTCTTCCTCCTCTCTTCTTCCGACCTTGTTTCCTTGCCGTTTCTTAATACGTCAGGCTACTAGAGGGTGTCAACGAGAAGTAAACTAAAAATAGGTCCAAGTAACAGTGAGGGGCCACTAGTTCACATATATTTTCTGTGTTGCCTATCATTTGTTTTTCTTCTATTTACTTCTGATTGAATTATTTCAACCATATTTACAGGAGCGCTGCAGTTTGAAAGACTGCCACATTTCTAAAAGTTGCATGATAATTGGAGGCTGGGTAAAAAAGAGACTAGAATTAGTGCCCTGCTAAAGGAAACAAAGTTCAACCACTGTATCTGTAGTTTGACAACAACAGTGTCTCACATGAATCTCAGCTAGCTAGGGTATGTTTTGTCCTTTGCTTAGTAGAGAAGGTGGGAAGAGGCGATAAGGGGTATTGTATTAAGGGGTGGCTTAGGCAAGACGGGACCGTATTGGCAGGAAACCATGTTTTACCTTTGTAACTCAAAAAACAGCTTAAGAGTGTTTCTACAACAGATGAGAATATGAAAAACCTTGCATCTGACTGAATTGTCCGTCTTTACATGATCGTGGTGTTTTGTTTGCTCCCGCCCTACATGTTTTTCATGGTTTTTGGTCTTTGTAATTTCTGGTTTGGGGGATTTAGTCCTTTATTATTTTTCTCCAAGCCTCAGATGTGGATAGCGCATGATGCTTTTCTGTCCAAGCTACATATTATTGTAAAGCAGTGCTGTTTCATTCCATCATGAAAAAGAATGATGTTGGCAGCTGTAGTAGAAGATCTTCTAGTAGGTCTATGTAAGCCAGAGGAACAGTACTGTTTGCAGTTTCCAAATGTAGCTGTCGTATTCTTACATTTTATGTTACTGCAGCTCATCCTTCAAGAGCAACATAAAACTTACACCAGCGTATAACATGAGCGCTGTCTATATCCAAGAACAGGCATATAACGGAAAAGGCGTTTTATGTATAACTTGGTTAAATTCTTGTGTCAGCCATCTCTGCTTCATGATGCTACCTAATGCATGTAAAGATTATGTTGTGAAACGATAGGCTTTATATAAGATTGTGAGGTTTGTCAGGCTATGTAAGTACATTGAAACTTAAACCATTTAAACGTAGTCTGTGTAAATCCCAAGCTCCCGTTTTATCATCAGCACAGAAAATGCAACACAACCTTAATTCTGCCCTACAGGACTGCTAGTCTTCCACTGCGCTCTCACCAACGTCTCCTTGCCTCAAGCCCTAGTTCCTGGAATTCTTAGTTGTAGTATATAGGTTGCAGTAATGGTACAACATATACCAATGAATGACAGAACAAGCTGCATATTTTTGATTTTTTTTTTTTTTTAAATTCTCATGCCCTTGTCAAGTATAATTGCATGCATAATATCACTGCATGCTTCACTTTAATGTTCTGCAGGCTTTTTTTTTTTTTTTTTTTTTTTTTTTTTAGATTAAATACAACACTACCACGTTTGTGCTTTCCTGTTCTAGTGTTTCCTTCCAGCTGAGTTTTGAAATTAAAATCTCTTCATGATGAATGTAATAAGAGATAAAGGAGAAGATAGAGGACATGACATAACTTTGTATGCCCCTTAAATCTTGGGCCATGTGCTAGTGGAATAACGCTGTGAATGCCTACTTTTGTACTGCTTGGCTGGAATTAGACTGTAATCTTGTGTGTTCCAATAGTTATGCCATTGGTGCTCTGGTCCAGGAGATGCTTTAGAATATCACTAAGCCCAAACTAATGTTCCTTGTCATAGTTCATGTAGCTGTACAGCTTACAGACTCAGCTTACAGACTGCTTTCTGGTTTCCTGGGAAAATGTGTGTGTGGCTGTCTGAATCTATCTGTGTAAACAGACACTCTGACTACTGATCTATTTTTCAAACCCAGTCAAGAGCTATGGCAAAGAACTGCAACTCCAGTAACAACCCTCTTGGGTGTGAAAAATGAAGTCACAAAGGGAAAGTTTTTTTCTTTTTTTTTTTTCTTCCCCCAATCAACAACATTTTTCCACCTGCTCCCCCTGGTTCCCAGCAATTGTTGTCAGCAGTCAGTAGTTTCAAAGGAGGAAAACTGTTTGGAGAGCTTCTCTATAATACTAAAACATTGTAGTTTTAGATTTCACTCCTTGTATTTAGATGCCTCACATCTGGGTGGATAGAATTATAGATGTAAAATAATGTTGAACAGCTTTCTTCTTAGGGAACATATACTCCTTCTTTGTTTTTTGCAAATCTAACTGCAATATGAAAATAGAAAGCTGGTAAAGGAAGATTTAATGACTGGTGCCTTGAACTAGGCTTCAGGGCAGGGTTAGAATCTGCTGTAGCCCCTGCTGCTGGCTTCCTGTGTGTATCCATACAAGGTGATACTCCCCTTGGTTTCTTTACTTCCAGCTCTGGGTTTGGGGGGCACGCATGGGAGGGAGTGTCCTTTATTTGATGAAAGACCTTTTTGCAATGTGTTAAAACAGGGCTCAGTACAACAGGATCTCAGTTTCAACTGAAATCTTTATGACCCTGCCACACTACAGTTAAATACTTATTGTAGCCTGCATTTTCTATTGCATGATTTCAGGTGCCCCAAAACAGTGGAAAACTTCTGTGTACACAGCAGAAATGGCTATTACAATGGACACATATTTCACCGTATTATCAAGGTAACTTGTAAAAAGTTAATTTTCTGTTGGTTTACATAATGTAACTTTCGGTTTAGTTCTGTCAACATTTTCATTTCACTTCTGCACAGAGCATTTCTGGAATGGTTTCATAATTCCCTGTAAGATCTGAACAACTCTGAGGCTCTGAAGAGCTTTATCACTTAGTAAAGTTGCTTGATAGTTGTCCTACAACTGACAAGGTAAAAAAAAAAAAAAAAAAAAACTGAAATTGAGCAATGAATCAATGTGGTAATCTTGCTTGAATTAGGATTTTATACATTTCTTGTCAGAATGGACATTTCTTGTAAGGATTCTCATTTCTGTTGCAACAGAGTCAAGTTGCTACAACTTACGTGTTTGCAGAAGGTTCAGGTTTCTATCCCTCACTAGCAGAGACCACTGAGTAATATTATTTTTGATGAATAGCAGATTATCACTTAAAGAAACCCTCAATGCTGCTGTCCCTTACCCACTTCATTTTAGCATTCAGATTTTGTTGAAGGGTATGAAGCAGTTCTGATGTTACAAAGCAGCCTGGAGAGCTTCACCTGGCATCAGACACTTTTGATCGCTTATTCTAATAATGCAGTAACGTTTAATTTCTGTGCAGGGTTTCATGATTCAGACTGGTGACCCAACAGGTACAGGAATGGGAGGTGAAAGTATTTGGGGAGGAGAATTTGAAGATGAGTTTCATTCAACTTTACGACACGACAGACCTTATACACTCAGTATGGCTAATGCAGGACCAAATACCAACGGATCCCAGTTTTTTATAACAGTAGTGCCAACTGTAAGTAATATTAAAAGCTCAATTTAAGGCCCAGGATGTTAACTAAATAATAAAAATAAGTAATTCTTCTAGTGAAAGGAAAATAGTACTGTCCAAATAGCCTTTCTTTGTTATTCTGGAAATAACTGCTGCATACAAACATGACTGGCTTCACTGAAACATTCCTTTAAGAAAGGTATTTTTGTCAGCTGTGATCATAAGAGGTCTTTTGACAGAGTAAGAGTCGTATCAAATTCTAAGTAGAGCAGACACTTACTTTTGCAGTTCTAAATTATTAGAATACTTAATATACTTGTTTAAATTTGATAGAATCCTGGCTATTGCTAAGAATGTTCCAATTTTTAGACATGGAGCAGGGATGGCTCCCAAAATTGTCTATTCCAGCTCTACAGAGACCAAAATTCATGTTGGAAAATTTCCCTATTGATGCTTTAATTGTATGCAACTTCACAGCCAGAAAAAGTAGTTGTGGTAAATTAATCTAAAACACAAAACAAATCCTTTGAGGTGTCACTTATAAAAACTTTATTTTCCTAGCACTTACTTCAAAATCATGTTTTAAAAAAAGCATCTCTTTTTAACATAATGTTGAAGCTCATTAAGTTTATTTTGGTGCCTATGTTGGGATTGCTAATCGAGCAAACTATCACTAGTGCCTGTCCAGTATTCTGGACTGTCAAAACAAGCATACACTTAAATTGTATCTCTGAAAATAGCAAATAGAGTTATTGAAACAGCATTTTTGCAAACTAAGATTACCCTTCAAAACAACAACAAAAAACCTCTGAAATGCTACGGCATTAATAGAACTTGTCTGCTGTAATACTCTAAGAAAATCTTTTAGAAGATGAGTTTAAATGCATACAAATATAATGCAAATGTGCATGAGCTACACTGTTTTTCACTTGTTAAAATATCAGTTTGCACTTACATGGTGCTTAGTTTAATAGCCTGAATATATAAGATTCATGTACTTATTCTAGCACAGTTACTTCCTGGTTTGTACCTAACATACATGCTACTTTTGTATTTTAATGACTTTTTTCTCTTCCTGTACCCTTGAACAGCCTTGGCTAGACAACAAGCACAGTGTGTTTGGACGGGTGACTAAAGGAATGGAAGTTGTTCAGAGAATCTCAAATGTGAAAGTCAATCCCAAAACTGACAAACCCTATGAGGATGTCAGCATCATTAACATCACAGTGAAGTAAGCTAGGAGTTGAAGGTTCCGGCTTTAAAAGAAAAAACAAAAAACCACACCCCTCAACATTGTGGGACGAAAAAGGACTCAGAAAAGAGAGATTGCTTTTGATAGTTCTTGGATGTAAGAAACCCCAGGGCACAGCAGACAGTTCTACTACTTTTTAAGGTATCTAAAGTGCCCTAAGCCTGTATTTTTAGTAATTTTGTATTTTAAAGTAAAACTATATGCATGTTTTTTAACGTCTAGTGTTGTTCTTGTCTCTTCTATGCAAGAGTGAATGTGTGAACCTATACCCCGTCTCATGATAGTTTATAATTCATATTCAGTATCGAGCTAATAATTTTGCCCACTTTATTTGCATCTTTCACATTTCATGCTTGTTTAATCCTTTTCACATTAAGGAAATCTGTGGCATACCTGACTACAGTTTTCCTAATGAATGAAAACTCTTCAATCATATGTTCATTAATCCAAAATTAGATGACATAGATCCTGTCATAGTAAAATATAATCTACCTCTGCAAAGAGAGTTGTGGATGTTTATGTTCATTAGGCTGAAAGAACAGCAATCTGCCACTGGAATGCCAGTGCATAGAGCCTCACACACCCAGTTTAGCATTGCCAAAAGCGTTACTTATCTTTTAAAGTTTGTTTTCTCATTATTTTGGCCTCAGGAGTCTGTTTCAAGCTTGTTTTTAGCTGTAGTCCTACAAAACGCTACTTCTACTAAAATATCTCGTCAGTTAAGATCATTTCTATCACTTAGTTTAAACTGAGTTTGTCAGGTGTTCTGATGCAGTCTTCAAGAAAAGCTCAGCCAATGTCTTAGGCCGTAGTGAACCTGTGGCAAAATATGGTCCTGTACTATGCTGGGTAACTAAGTCTACTCTAAATACACCATTGCACTGGTGCAAGACTCTAAGGAGTTCACATTTGTGATGACTTGATTTATGAAATCAAGTGTTCTAATCAACTCAGGTCATCATCTTGATATAAGATGTTAAACAGAACTTCAAGTCTGCTCATGATGGCTCATACTCTCCAGTTTATTCTGTAGGGAAGATCTATACTCCCTGCTACAAAAGCCCGCATATATAACTAAGAGTCTTGATGGTACCTAACAATCCAGAAGTGTCCCTAAAGCAGTTTTGGAAGTAGGAAGCTGTAAGTAAGTTATAATGGTAAAAATTAGGCTTAAATTTTTGTAGCACTCATTAGCACAATTAAAAACATTTCAGGAGGAGATTCTAGTTAGTTAATTTAGCATAGATAATTTGCCTGTTTGACAAGTAGAAAAAATTGATGAAGGTTTTATGATTCTCAAGTTCAAGACATCCCATTTTTCTTCAACAAAAGAAAGCTGAATAGGGAGCTTACAGCATGCTAAACTTGCAAATAAATTGGACTGGAACACAAGTGGTTTTAAAAGGTATATTTCTCCATACTCAAGTTTTCGTTCACATCAACAGAAAAGCAGTTATTAACATTTATTGTTGCTTTCCAAAAGCAAAACAGAAGACTGGTACAACAGCATTAGTAGGCTTAAACTGTACGACTTCAGAAGAATCTAATCTATTATACAATTTTTTCCTTCTTACCGTGCCATTAGTTGCAGATCTTTGTATTAACGCAGTTGTAATGCTGAAACTGTAAAAGGGACAGATTTCCTTTTCATTATTTAACGATATGTATTTCATCTCAGGTTATGCCTAGACCACAGGTTTTCAGCTCATAACTAGTTACATGTGAACAAATAAAGGTACGATTCCTGTTCTAGAATTCAGGCAGGACAGAGGGACATGGAATGATGTTGTAGCACTTATCACTCATTTCAGGGATAAGAGCATGAATAGATTTTCTGTCTTTGCATAATGAAGGGGGGGGTTGTGTTTACAGTTCTAGTAAATGAAATAAGTCTAGCTAAATCACTGTAATAGGTGGTAGTGTTTTTATCTCATACCATTTCTTTGAAAGAAGATACTAATCAAATTAATTCCCTCAAAAGCTGCAATCATTAAGAAACTTGTTTTCAGTGAAGTAAGGAATATCTTCAAGGATAGAGTGTTTACAGTAAGTTAAACACACAAAAAAAAAAGTTTAGTGACGTTAGTTCTTTAAAGGTTCATTTTTCTGGGCAACTAAACTACAGCAACTCAACTGTTTCCACTGAAAGAGCCATTTCTTTCCAAAAAATCATTCCATTCTCACCCTTTCCAACAGATCAAATCAAGAACCATTTCAGAGGAAAACCCTCCAGTACCACTCTGTCCACAATAAATTTGAAGGTAACTTACAGTAATGCCCTATCAAGTGATAAAGCACTTTTTCCAGTTAGGCTAGACTTACTATTTTTGCACCAAGATTCATTAAAGAAAGCAAAACACCATCACTGAATGCAGTATTCACTCAGGCTCACATTTAAGTCAAAACCTTACAAAGAGTTGTTCAGTTTTTCAAATAATCCTTGTAGTTAGTAATGTTTGAGTTAAGTTCTAGTCGAGGAAGTACTCCAATTACATATTGCATAAGTGAGTACACTAAAAACTAAGAGTTTAATAAAAATGGTGAAACAAGCTTAAATTTACAACTGAAGCAGTTTATATATATATATAATATTAACTTACAATACAAATAAACTTCTTAGTGTACCTGTTAACACAAAAGAGTTCACAGACAAATGCCACACTTATTTTCACAGTTACTTGAAGTCATCTTAAATAAGTTCCACTTAAAAACACTTTAATGGTAGCATTCCACACATCACAAGCAATCCTTTTGTACTCAGAAATATGCATGAGTGAGTATCTTTCTCTGCCCCCAAATGTACTGTTAGAAAAAAGCAAACTGGTCACCTTGAACATTTTATAACACAAATTAGAACTACAGCTAGGAGTCTGAGAGGCTTGTGTAACCAAAGCCTGAGCCAACTAAAACAAAATTTCAGATTCAGGATTTTCTGAATAACTCATGTCTTTTCTGTTAAAAGTATTCCAGAGAAGCATCTACCACACTTAGCAGAACTTGTTCATATTTTAGAAATGGAGCTATAAAAGTACAGTCAGCACTAACTAGATCTGGGACAGCTCTGCAGCACGGGCCAAGCAGATACTCAAGTCGGAGCAGCCAACTGTCTACTGTGCAAGAAGTTGCAGGCTGGGAAGAATGAACAATATTTAGTTGGCGTGGTGCAACAAAACACCCTTCAGCCATTGTAAACTATGTACAAAAGTTATCAGGTGTTTTCCAAAGAAAGTAACTACCCCTTCTCAGTATCCATACACGTCTGCAGGCATGTAAGCCTATTTCACAAATATCTACATTAAAGCTTAGTGTTCTTTCAGCTGCTCTTCAGGTCATTAGACTTGCAGAATCTAAAGCTGCATTAACACCATTTTTGTGATGTTTAATTAACAAGAGAAAGCTATAAGCAACGGTCATTAGGAAGGAGTAGTTAACCACAACTGCTTCCTCTTCAAGAGTGCAAGTTTACTAAATTACTTGTTTACACATTCTTAGCTTTTGCCTAATGTATGTATGCAGTGGAAAAACATCATAAAATTGATACTAGTACGATAGAAGTCATAGCCACAGATGATGGGATACATTTTCTTCTCCAGGCGAGGTTCAGAGCCCTACTCCAGATAAATAGGCTTTCCAGTGTGGCAAAAAAAACTCCGTGAAACAACACTGCTCACTTCTGCTGAGTGATTCATCTCTACCCCAGGAAGGAAAAAAAGATGATATGTAATTCTGATCTATTGGCTATGCTCATTGTAATTCCTCTACTGATGTGCAGAGGTGCGTGGCATAGGTTCTTCAGTTGGCAATCGTTGTGCAACTGAAGGGCCAGAAGATTCATACGAGGTGTGCATACCAGGCATAACTTATCAGAACCGTGCATGCAGCAGAAAAGGAGACATCAGTAAGTCACTCCAACCTTCTCTAAATTTAAACAGTGCTACAACCATATTTCATGGGTTTGTGAATGAATCACCTTTAAAAATAGAGGGATTGGTGACAGTTCACATAGAAGATACAGTAAGAATAAACAGAATATAAATAAAGTTTATGTCACATTTTACCATCTGCTATTCTAAGAGTTATAATTAGTTGTACACTGCTTTTACAAAAGGTTATTTAATATTTTAAGGCTACTACCTTATTCTGGAAGCATGACCTCTACATAGAGGTACATAGCTGGACTGATGTTTCACCATACTGCTTCTTCAGTAATTCTTTTTTGAAGCTTCATTTGACTTGAGTCAAAAGTTAAATCTCTAAGGACAGGTTACATCCTCAAGCATACACAGAACACTTCCACCTCAATATCACTATATTCTGTCCATAATTAATATAGCACATGCACCCTTTAAGCAAGTCTCCTCCCTGCCACACCAAGCATGCACCCTAGTCATGCCACAGCCCACTAGTGCTGCAACACTGTTCCCCATTCTCAGTTCTTCCTCAATAAATTATGTTCTCTTCCCTTCTGGTTACAAATGGGGAATCTAATAAATAAGGGGCAGAGGAAACGACATTTTCCTTTTGCAGTGTATTCACATGTCATTTTCAATGCCAGCTTTAGGTGAATACATTTTTAAGATATTAAGAGCAGCACCATTTGTTTCTGACCAACGGTCAGAGTTGACTGTTCTAAATAGCTTGAGATGAACTTTTAGAATGGTTTCTTGGGAAAGTATTTCTAAATCACTCAAATCTTCTGATACCAATTAGCTACTGTGACCATGTCATGATTATTAAATGAATTCCAATGCATATATTTATCAAGGAGGAATTTTAACTTGTAACAACCTAATTTCACCAAAAAAGTTTCAAGGCACCCTTGTAACTAGCCCATCACAATACTTGTAAACATATCAAATTTCAAACACACGTGCAATTGCACAAATTTACTGAACCAGTTATCCCATCTAGGACAAAAGGTTTACATTTTTCTGTTACCACCAAGTGAAATAAAGTCCCCCTCTTCCTTCACACAGCAGACCTGGCCACAACATCCTGAATCATGCAAACAAAACAAAAGTCAACTACAACCTTAAAATTGCAGCTGCTGTGAAACTAAGCCACATCCAGGACACCAGCAGCCACGAGTTGCCTTGAAAGCCAGTCCAATCCTTCATAAAGTCCTGTACCACTTCTGGCATCACAACCCTGAATGTACCAGCTCCGGCCACAGCAGAGTTTGTGGAGACTCAGCAGTTCTGTAATTTCTTCCACTGAAAGCGCACCTGCTACATCCTGCAGCAGAACCAGATACACAAACTCAATTATTCTTATGTAGTAAGTTTGAGATAGTTTATTTTTAACTGATAGCTCAGCCTGAAAATGGCTGCAAGTCATATTTGGCTTTCCTGTTTGGAAAGCGTGTGTTAAACAGTTAAGAATCAACTATTTCTTAATCATAAAACAGAAACTGGTTGTTGAATCTATTACTTTAGGCTATTTTATCAGCTTTAAGCATAAGGAAAAACATCTACATTATATCCCTTCAGCATTCCTATATCCTAATCACGACAGAGGGTTCACAGAAGGTTTGAATCTGTTGCACAAACTAAAAGACAAAAGTAACGGCAGGGGGGGCCCACGCATGACAACTCGCAAGTACCTGCTTATTGGCAAAGATCAACAGCAAGGCATCCCGCAATTCCTTCTCTGTTAATAATTTTGCAAGTTCGCTGTGTGCTTCGCTGACCCTGTCTCTATGACTGCTATCAACAACGAACACCACCGCTAAGAAAGGAAAAGAAAAAGGTTTAGATGTTCAAATATAAACCCTGGATCGTGTTAGCTTTCAGCTAACAAATTTATTTGTAACATAGTCCTCTACATGAAGCTTCTCAGCAGTGCACAACTTCCAACTTCAGGAGTATTGAGGAACGCCTCATGTATCTATCAATAAAAAACTAGAATTCACCCTAAAAAGGAAAAAAATTGCCTCTTCTAACATAAAGGCTATGATACTTTAACTACTTAGGTCTAAAACCAGATTTACCTTGTGTAAATTAAATATCTCAGTTTGAACAGAAATGAATCTAAAAAAAAAACACGACTTTATTCCAATTTCACTGAACTGGCTGTAACACCTACAACTTCAGCCAAATCAGAACAGTTTCCCTGCTGTTCTCACATGTATTTATGGGAGGACTACAGAACCAGGGAAGACTGTGGAGTCCTATTAAATTAAGTTTGACATAGCAGCAGTAGATTTTACTATCCATTATAGAGGGTAACTGAGATGCCAGAAAGACTGCAGAGTTAGGGAGACAGAACTAGAGGACAGAGTTTAAACTAATCAGCTTTTGGCGGTGGGGGGGGAGGAGGAGACCTTACTACAGGGATGTACCATATTAACTGTTTAGATTTTGCCTCAGGTCTGCAATTTTTCAAGGCAGACGTGATTCAATGTTCCTGATGTTTATAGGGAAGTTTTAAGAGGACAACAGAAATCCAAAATGCAATTTTTTTTAAAAAAATAAAAAGATAGGAAGATATAAAATGTTAAAAGTTTGCAGCGAAGGCTGGAACAACACACAAAATGGAACGCTTCAACTGATGTTCATCATTCTGAAGTATTCTAGGTAATTCTCAATGAACTCATGAAGAACCCCCTTCTAAATTGGAAAACAACTATGGAGCATTTAGAGAAGCATAGCACAAATTTCCAAGTCAGCATCGTTCAGAATTGTTTTCGTAAACTAGTCTATGACTAGATCTAATTTCACTACAATACCAAGTCAGAAGCTTGTAGAAGTTTTAAGTTGCTAACTAGAGACTCCTACAGGCCGAGTATTTTCATTTCAAATGCTGTTAAAAGTTTATACCTGGCAAGTACTACTTATCACTATGGGAACTTCTGGAACACTGCACATCCTGTTGTCAGCTAAAGTCAGTTTAGCAGAGATTCTAATTTTGTTTGGCTCCCTGAACTGTCTGATGGATTTATGAAGAATGCACCTTTATTCAGCAGATACTACTTACCTTGTGTATTGAGGTAATAATGCTTCCACAAGGGCCTCAACTTGTGCTTCCCTCCTACATCCCAAATAGTAAACTTCAGATTCTTATATTCTACTGTTTCAACGTTAAAACCTAAAATAAAAATATTCAAGTTTCATAGCCTTATTCTCTATGAAGATGAAATAACCAAATTCTACAGATAAATCAAATGCTCAGAGAATCATTACATACAAGTCATTGCTACTAACCTATTGTTGGAATCGGCTGCATGAATTCATCTTGCTTTAACTTGAACAAAATAGTTGTTTTGCCAGCTCCATCCAATCCTAAAGTGACAACCCGAATCTCCATTTTTGGTCCAATGTGTACTCTGTTGTCCTGGAAGAAAGAGAATACAAAAAGAGAGCAAGTTTAGGAAAGTCAACACGTTTAAGACACTCAACATCTCATCACTATTTGTAAAGTGATTAAATACATAGATTCCAAAGGTAGAAAGCACCATCGCCTGCCAGTCATCACCAGCAATAATGTAAGCCACCACCACATCCAATAATTTCATCTGCAACTTCTGCCTGAGTTATTATGTATCTCTTAGAAAAACATCCATTCTCATGTTAGTATGTCTGTACTTAACACAATTTCAAATTCCTCTGCCATGGGGTTTGGGCCAAGAATGATAAACTGTTCATTGCAATTAGTGAGAACTCTCTGACCAGAGAATTCCCTGCTAGCTTTGGAGCTTTTCCACTAAGTTTTACTGCACTATTAGTAACCATACCCACAGAATTATTTTCAGCAGGCAGCTCCATAGCTAAGCCTCTTCACCTCAAGCCACTTCCAGTCCTTTAGCACATTACAGCAATATTATCAGCACCAAGCAGTAACTTGAAATGGTGTTGAAAAAATACACGTAAGTCTCACTTGGTGGCAAGGAGAGAGAATTAGCTTTGTATTTGTAGTCAAATAATTTATCAAGCTACCAGAAGTACTGAATGCGCTGAGGCCAAAAATGATCAAGTTATTACATTACATTATTACCATAAAGCAGCAAAGAATAAACCATAAGACAAACAGCATGCGTTACTGTGTGTCCCAGAAACATATCTTTCAAATACTTAGAAATGCTATCATGAAACAGAGTTGAAGTCAGAACCCTGCAGCATTACATTTGTTTTCTTGCAAGATCTGGAGGTTCTGGGGGCCACTGTGCTGGACAATACATGAGAACTCTGTTTATGCCATACAGCTTTTTATTTCTTCTTGCACTAGAAATTCTATTTCTAGAGCGCAAAATACTACAACATCTCCTCATCCAAGACCAACATACACAAGTGTGACCGTACATCTAAACATCCACCTCATGTGACACGAGACATATGTACAGGATCCATTTATACAGCCAGATGTGTGCCATCGTGATCTGACTCAACTCCATTTTCCCCTCTGTCGCAGACCAAGTAGTAAACTGCTAGCATGACCAATACAGCTTAACTCAGTGTCCTTATGCTATTGCAATATCCAAAGACGTTCCTTGTAAAAAGACCTGGAGAAATCATAACAAACAAGGGGAAATGGAAAAGAAAGAAGATGCAAATATCACACTGCAAAAAACAAATAACATTAAGATGGTAATAATAAAATTAGCATTGGTAAGGGTTACCAGTTTCCCATGCTGGCTTTAACAGTGATGGGTAAGTCCTCTTTTCTGTCTCAGGTATAGTTTTCTTATCATTAACCCTCTCCTCAGTTTGCATGGACAAACAACTATTTAGGATGAAAAATTGTTAATCATGGACATAACATCCTGTAGCCACCGCTCTCATTACAAACTATATCAAGAATTTGACCAGGACAAACAGGACAAACTCTCTTCAAACAAAGATCACACTTCCTAGACGAGGAGCCATTTCTTTGCCAACAAACTAAGTACATGAAGAGATCTCAACCTTATTTGGTCAAAGTTTTCATAAATGCATACGTAAAGAAGCATCTGTGGGAAACAATATCTTAATATTTGAAAAAATAAAGATCTTACACTAATATATGCTTTGAAAGCCTTCAGCATATTTTCCCAGAAACGTCTCCAAATAATTTTTACTCCCTTTCAGTGCTTTACGCATGGCATTTCCCTTGGTTGTTTAGAAGGGGGAAACAACACTATTTATGTTTCTCAGACTATCAGTGAGGCAGTGTGGCTAAAACCTATGCACTTCGAACAGCAGGCAGGATTTTTCTTTCCCAACTTGAAGTCAGTGATTCTGCAACCTTCACTGGATATTAAATTCTCATGTTCCTCTGACCTGGTACTATCCGAAATGCTTTTTTATAACGTATACAGCCTTTAGCACATTAGAGATCCTGAGAAAGGCCTTTCAACCACAGAGCAAGAGTTTAGTTTTTCATCTGAACATAAATCCCTTTTTACTGCTACCTGAAATCTGATCTTGTTGCCAGACCCAGACCCTTCAGGTAACCAAGCCTCACTGCATTCCCTGGCAGCGGGCATCAGCATGACAGCTTCCTGAAAGGCCACTGTGTAGAAGGAGAGCTTTAAATTTCATATCAGAAGTAAGGGAACACAAGAAGTAAAAAAGGGACTGAAGCCATTTTTTCCATTCTGCTTTTTCATAACTACTGCCATTTTTGTGAAAAGTGACATTTGCTTTGGCACCTTTGAAACTGAGAATCAGGGCTTCACATGACTTGGTAAGAATCACAGTTCATCACAGGAGAGAACAAAGAGACACCCCATTTCTTTCCCAAGAAGGCCAAAATATGGAAAGACGTTTGAAGACTTCAAGTTCCCTGAGCCAGGACCTATTTCAGATCTTGCAGCCAAGCCAGCTGCAACCGTTCTCTTTCCAAATGCTCAGAAATTCCTGATCGATGTTTTCTAAGTCAGACTAACAGCTCCTAGGGAGAGAGAGCACGAAAGAAATACGTAGAGAGCAAGAGAGAGCACTCCAACATGCTAGTCACAGTCCTGTGAGATAGCACCAGTCAGCTCTTTGAATATGCAGAATGTAATTCATCTTCTGCAAAAGCTGTACGTGCTGCTTCACACATGCAATGTCATTTAGATTTAACCAGGGATTTGCAGACAGGTCTCCCCCATCCTATTATCTCTTGCCTCTGCCAAATAGAGGAAGGAGGGGCAGAGGTGAAAGTGTTGCATTTAGAGATCTGCTGACTGAAACCTTCACCTTCCTACCTGAGGCAGATAAAGCAATTATTACATGGAAATCGAAACTTATTGAAGTTACAAAACAAAGTATTTGGCAGAAATTGATTTTTTGATACCACACTACTAGAACACATACATTGCTAAAGTAAACTGCATGCCGAAAGACAAGATGTAGGCACATCTAAAAACTATAATTAGTAATTACTGTGAGAACATGAACTTAGAACAGCAGTTATCGATGAATCTAGAGAAAAGCTGCATACCTGCACCAATTCTGCAACAAAGTAGGTAATTCAGAAGTAACAGAAACATAAAAAGATTAAAACAGTTCTCTGCCGGAAGGACGTGGCAAGAAATATCTTAACAGAAAGCCATACGGAACACAGATGTTAATAAAAATGCTAATAATTAATACAAAGTGACTGGAACAGAATCCACATGAAAGCATCCTTTTCCTATAGGAAGAGTTTCAACAGCAGTAGTTAAATCCTCAGTTTCACCACAGTAACAACAGGACCTATCCTTCCCTCACTGAGGATGAGGCAGTGCAAATGAATATACAAAATATTTTTTGTTCTTCAGATATCAAATTTATGTACTCTGTTAGGTAAAAAGAGTCACCATTATCAAAATGCAAACAATTTCATCCCTTTCAAAGCATATATGAGATTGAAATATTAAAGCCATAAAGTAAAACCAACCTAGAAGATGGATGCTGCCCAAACTATCAATGAATACTAACCTACTAGAATAATGCAAATCACTGTTTGATAAATTCAAAGAAATACATCTTGATTGTTATGAACTGGAACATATGTTGGCATTTTTCTTTTTAAAATAGGTGTGCAATACTCAAGAAATAAGATAACATGCATTTTGCAGAAGTGATGCTGTCCTTATTTTCCACACATCTGTCTCTTTTTTAAGTGGTAGGTTCCTGACCTGAGTTGAATGCACAAAGGAGGAATGTTTCCAAAGTGTTTTTAAAATTCACAGTGACTGTGTTGAATATTTAAAGGAAAGCAGCTATGTTCCAACAAAGCTATTGATGTAGCTAACATTAAATGAATGCTGGTTTCTCAGACTAATTCCAGAACAGTTATTTTGTTGCTCAAATGCCAGATGGAACGCATCATACGGTAAGACACTGTGGCTGTAACTGATGCTGAACTCTTAAGTTTGCTGCAACAAACACAGCATCATAAAGATGCTGTATTATTCCTGCTTTCTTTTAAATTACATTTGGAACTTCATAAAATGGTAGATATGTTTTCACAAGATTAAGAATACCTTTGTAAAAGTGACAGGTATGCTAGCATCCAGCTGTATGTGATCTGCAAGTTCTGTAAATTGCTGCTGCTGTTTTTGTAATGTCTCCAGTAGTCTTGTAATTTCCTGTTTGGCCAACACTACTCTGCAGTCATCCTAAAAAGATAAAAAACAAAAGTACCCCTTCCCATCAGTAACTTAATTTAACCAAAACCAACACAAATATGATGGCTAGAAGTAAAGCATTTTAAATATAAACACTGCTGTTAAAGATGAACATTTACCAAAAACGCTATTTAAACTCAGATGCGTTTCTTCCTTAATACTAGCAAACACTAAAAAGTTGTGGCATTTTAAAAAAGTTACTCTTTGACCTCTCTTAGTCTAGGGATAACAATATAAGTTATACTACAGAGTCATGAAATAAATAATATTTATATCATTCATACGTAATTCCAGCAGCTAGAATACAACAGCACTTTGCAGCATGCAGCAACATACAACACAAAAGGAAGTAACATCTAGCCACTAATGTTGGGAATGTCAAACAGTGCCCACTAAATGTGGGTTTGACTAAGTAGCCAGACACTGGCACTAAATAAAAAACACTGAAAAGATTAATAATTTGTCACATTCAATTTACTGTTTGCTGCATATGCTATTTACTTTTTTGCTGTCAAACTAAGTGACTAATGGATCCATCTGGTACTCTCATACAGCCACTTTCTTCACATGTTTAATAAAAATACTAAATTATCCAGACTGCAAGGCCTACAGAAAATTATTTAGCCCAGATGCATTTCTCCTTTATCAGTTTCACATAACAACTATCTTCAAACATTTATAGCGGTAATAGCAACTGTAAAATCCCTCCCATAAATACTGTTTTTTTGCTTCAGTTTCGTCTCTCTTCCCATTCACTCCACGAATAACTAGAAGTTACTTCACAGTATGCAATTATATCCTGTGGCTACAAGATTTCCAGGAACGGGAGGACTTGATGCTGTTGTACTGGATATGTTATTTACAATGAATACTTCATGTTGTATCATTTTAACATTATGAAGGAAACATGAGCGCAGAGGGCCATCCATTTTTTTTAGTTTCTAGTCTAAACTTAATTTAGAGCTTAACTTAGAGATCTCTTGTCCCACATTACAGCTCACTTGCCAACCTACCTGCTGTAAGGTCTTTTCACAATGAAGGCAAGCTGTTGAAACCTGTGACAACAGGATTGTCATGTCTTCTTGCTGTTGTCTAAGCCAAATCAACTTCTCTCTCACATGAGCGTCAACAACACTAAGAGCCATTTCCTCCTGACGACAAAGGGTTTCGTGAAGATCAGAAAAATAGGCTCGGACACATGAGCGAGCATTCTCTGCAGTCCCTGGTACCTACAGCATTACAGTCATGAGAGGAAGAAGAAATTTGATTAAGGATTATTGCTGATCCCAGAAGTACAATATTTTGCATTTTATTCCAATTTCTAACTTATATTCACATCTGGCTGACTGGCTCACACTTCAAGTTTCAGTCGCATTGAGTGTGTTATCAGCCCCAAGACGAAGATCCTCCAAGAAGTTACTCTGATAAACAAGTAGTTTAGTCACAGCAGCTCGCTCACATACGTATACACACACAACAACAAAATTATTACTGACCAAGATTAAAAAAACCAGTAATATCACAGTATCTGAGGACAGATGGACAAACTATCACAGTACTTTAACATTATACTTGTAATTACATAACCCCGTATTTCCTCCCTATTTTCACATAGGGAAGAAATACTGTGGCGGACTGTAAGTTCCCCTTCCTTCTGCTGCCATAAGCCGCAATATTCAGAAGTGCCGAGTATGTCCAAATCCCATTGACTTTGTAAAGATAAGAACTTAACGTTTTTGTCTTACAAATCGTATGTTTAATTTTCAAAGAACTTCCTTAAAATGACACACTTTGTAATCATGTATGTTATAATTTACTGCTCTGAAAAAAGTCTTCATTGTTACAAGTGGAAGAAAAACAAACCAAGCTACAAAAACAAATATGCAATGCAATGCTTGCGGGAAAGAAAAAAAGCATACATGTTCTGTATGGGCCATTCCAACTCCATCTTCAACTATTTGTTCTCCTCCTTCTATTTGCTGAACAATTCCAACTAATTTTCTGGAATAATCTGAAATTTCTTCTGTGAAGGTTCTTATACAGTGGGCCATGTCTAAAATAGATGCACGAATCTGGTTTGCTTCTGGTTCCAAGACGGCATGCTATTAATTGAAAGTAACATATCAAAGTTTAAGCATAAATAGCTTCCTTAATCATCCCATCTTACTACATATTAATATATATATATATTTAAGGGGAGGGAAAGGCAGGTAAAAATGAAAAACAACTTGAAACTTAAAAAGTATGAATCAGGAGTTAGAGATTATGTTAAGATTAAGATAGCAATCTAGCAATTACACAAGTAAACATGCAAATTTGCTTCTTTTCCATAATCACTTTAAAAAACAAAGATGTGGCTGGACTACACCAGGTTGGGCAAATTTAATATTTGCCTGCTGAATAACAATTATCAGAACTGATGACAAAGCACAGTGATGTTCAGAACTGCATCAGATAAAGGGCCTTTCCATCTTAATGTACAAATAACCATATTGCGGTCTTAGAAACAGCTTTTTTTTTTTTTAAATACTGCATGTATCCATAGCAGTTATCTGAAATGAAGGAAAAGGGAATGAACAGTATGAAGTTACTTCCATAAAGACGTATCAAACATCTACTCCCTTTCCTTGATAATCTTCTATACTTAAATTGGATAAATATCATTAACATAAGCTACCCCATGGCACAACAAACAAACAGATCCTTAACAGTACCTTATGACCTTGATGCTTCCCATATTCTTTACAGACACAACACATGAGTGGACTGGCCTGACAGCCCTCTTCTAAACAAACAAACTCAATAGCATGCACTTGGTGCTGGGAGCACATGGTCTTCTCATGAGGCTTATCAGCAAGGGGTACACGCCTGTGTTTCGCTAGTGTCTTTGTAGAATGAGTAAGCTGGGAACAGTCTGCACACAGGTGAGTGGCACAGACAGTGCAATAAACTGAGGCAACATGGGCTTCATCTTCATCGCAGCGAATGATACACTAACAAAAAAAGACAAAACTGAAACGGTTATTAACCAATTCCAGTAACTGTGAAAAAGTCAGAAGTTATCACCAATATAAGTCTAAAAAGTAGACTTTTCTTAAAAGTTGCATGTCAATAAATATTCAGAATACTTTCAAAGCTTGCTTTTAAATTCTCGACTTCCTAACGAAAAATAAAATAAAAGTTTGTTTCCTCCTTTACAGTCAACTCCAATAGATTCTTCTAGAGGTGTCCAGAGATTCCACAAGTCCAAACTTCAGTAGAAGTTTTAAAGGTTTGAAAGCTAAAATAATTCAGGCTCCAGACACTACCTCTAATACAGACATTAGAGAAAAATGATCACAAAATTACAGACGGACGAAACGTCCAAAGACAAATATGCCCTTAAGACAACCATTTACTCCATGAGTGGCACTCCACTATACTTTCTGCATAGTAGTTGTTAACACTGATATGATTAAAGCAGCTAGTTTTAATAATGAAGTACTTCCCATCGCATGATATCAAATGACTACAGAAAAGCAACACTTGGGAAGAAGAGTTGCTTTCAAACATTTAGGAAGAACTTTAAAAAGCTGTGGAAAACTCTCCTAAAATTACTACAGCTAAAGTATTCAAATGAGTAACATCTTTTAGAAAAGTTTAAAAGCCTAAAAAAAAGTGTATGTTCTGGGTAGTGATTTTTTCTGTTCCGTTTTAGTCACTGCATATAATGAAACAAGTAATTAAAACATTAAAAACTTGATACTGTAAGCAAAACAATGTCTTTATTAATAAGATAACTTTATATTTGATATAGAACTGGCTTTCATTTTTGTTAAGCTAAAAGAATTTTCCCATCTAAATACAGATTTTAAGCCAACTAATCAACAGTTTTTTGAATTAGTACCTCTCCAGATAGGCCAATAGCTTCTTCTGTCGTCCCACACTGCCCAGCAGATCCATTCTGCAGTCGTTCCAGCAGTTCCAACAAAGCAAAATTCTTCTTCAAGCCCCAGACACCAGAATCTCCTATTTTTAAGGAAGAATTAGATTAAAGGGGAGGGGAGAAAAAAAAAAAAAACCACCAAGCAAATGCTGTCATTAAGTGCTCCACAAACCAGTTAAGAACCTGACAATCTAAAGAGAGAAAACTGGAGTGAGATATAACTACTACTCTTTCTGTGGAAGTTCACACTTCCTTTCCATCCTCTTCCTTCCTTCCACCATGGAACTATTAAATATTTACACAGGTTTCCCCTACTAAAGGGCTAATACAATTATTCATGTTTTCCCCTCTTTCCACTCCCCCCCCCCCCCCCCCCCCCAAAAAAAAACCCCACTTCAAAATCTAAAATAATCCGGGATACCTATCATCATCCTGCTAGAGACTGCAAGGAACATGCAAGCTATGTATATTATAATCTTTAATATATTTTGCAAACTTAGGTAAAGGAAACATTTCTACAGTGCCAACAGAAACTGAAGGATTTGCACTGAGTTCCCTGAGTCACAAGATACAACACCTATTGCAGATCCTAGCCGAGTAAAAACCTGAATAAAAGTTAAAATAATATTCAGGAAGAAGGACCCACATACAGTAGTGCTACTACATACAGTGAAAAAGAAGAAATCTCATACTCTTCAGAGGAAAGCAGTAATCAATGTCTACTACTGAAACACAGGAAGTTCCACCTGAACATGAAGCAAAAAAAAAAAAAAAACCAACAACAACTTTCTTTCCTGTGAGGGTGACTGAGCACTGGAACAGGTTGCACAGAGATGTGGTGGAGTCTCCCTCCCTGGAGATACTCAAAAGCCATCTAGATAGGGTCCTGGGCAACGTGTTCCAGAGGACCCTGCTTGAGCAGGGGGGGGTTGGACTAGATGATCTCCAGAGGTCCCTTCCAACCTCAGCCATTCTGTGATTACCATAAATTTAAAGGCATCTTCTCTGTTGCAGGGTAAAGGCACCTCAAAGATAATTATCTCTGGGCATTAGCTCATTAGTTTTTAAATCATTCTTACTGTCTATACAGAAAATATCTAGGACCTTTCTCTCAGAGTGCCTGTTTTATAAAAAAAGCAGCAAAATATATTTTAGTAATCTGTTGACCAGATATTCCTCAAACAGGGCAAGTCTTCCATCTTCAAGGATGGAGTATACAGAATCCGATGTTCTCCTGAATTTACAAGATCTAGAGAGTTATATTTGGTTAAGTGCAACAGGCTGACTACCAGTGCTAAATCACAACTAAGTAGTTTTGAAAATAAGGAATGACTGATTATAGCTGGACAATCTGAGAATAAGGAAGATGTGTTTTTAAATGGAGCTCAGTGTTGAATTCACCATTAGTTTCCAGAAGGAGGGTCACTTGTTTTTTTAATTCAGGGGCAGGTCAACTTTTGAAGTTGTCTACTGTCCAAACACCCCTACCTCTGCGTATTTGGGATCCAGTTAAAGTCCTAATTAACACCAGCAAGGCTATTCATATACAGCATCAACACATGCAGTTACTTGAATGATCCCTATGGAATAATCTAATGCTAATTGCCTTGCTGACAAGGAGAAAAATAAATAGTCCCATGAGATGTGTACCATGGCTGGTCATGGTGAGAGCAACAGTGCTATGACACCTCTGAAGAGAATGCAAACTGGAATCAGACTCACGCTGTATACCATACTGCTTTGTGTAGTTTGCAATTAAGACAGACAGTTTTCTCTTCCAGACATTTTCTACAATTCAAACTGCTGCCTCCATTATTCTAATTTGAATTTTGCCAGCAAGAAGTTATCTGCCTCATACGCAAGAAAGAGGCAGAGCTCAGAAGAGAAAGTTGGGCGCATACTTTTCCTACAGCTATTAGTGATAGCATAGATTAACTGTTCTTCCCTCCAACACCCTCAACTGGTATAGAGCAACGCTTTATGTTAAAAGGAAAAAAAAAGGTGTGGGGGGGAAGAGTTGGAACAGGTAGAATGCTTACTAAGAGGACATTTTTAGCAAACCTCTCCCTGGAAATCGGCCTACCAGGAGTTGACTAGTAACTTTGAAGCTAGGTTCACAGTAAAAGCATGACTGTACTCTTTTCAGCTATCAGTTCTACAGTGGAAGCTTTCTCTGGTAGGGATTGCATTATTCACACCCAATATAAGCTCAGTGCACACCACCAAGTAGTATTCCTTTAACAGAGACCTTCAAATTTTCAGAGATTATGTTCTGGTCTTGCACTATTTCACAGTTAGCACTGCAGTCTTCTGCCTGTATGTATTCTGACTTCAGAGCTTAGTTATTTTTTTCAGCTCCGGCATTCCCAGCAGGGTCAGTGTTCCTCATGTCACCAAGAAGGTCACCTCTCATTACAAGTTGAATAAACAGAGGATACAATATCCATTTCTGGAGCTCAGTTATGTAAACAGTTTGTAAATGGGACTTGAATTTCCCAACACTGTGTCTAGATGACTGACACTAACTCCCAGGGAGCAAAGTGCAGAAAACTGACTAGACAGTTCCCTTCTACAGTATTCAAGCAGCACTAGCCCATAGTAGAATGACTGTGGGCACAAGCTTCAGTTACTACAGTATGCAATATATTCACATGAACAACACACCAATATAATGCCTACTGATATTGCTTACTTGGACCTCTTAGGTATACAGATAGCCATTAATAGTAGAGTATATATATTGACATATAATGACAAAACAATGAACTTTCTTGTGAAATAGATTTATACCAAACTCCTTAGTCTTTAACCAAACACTGCATAAAATGAAGAGAGAAAGAAGCTGTTCAATCATTACAGAATTTCTTACAGAAGAATTTTCTTTCAGAGGTTGTAATATGTTTATGAAAAAAAGCAGAATAGCCTTAATAAGTCTTCCTCTCAGTTTACATACTAGTATTCAATTGAACCATGCTAATTCTTCTTCCTCCTGTTCCATGCTTAGCATGGAGAGAAAGTCATGCCAAAAAAAGTCAAAGCAAAACTGATTTACAGAAATTTAACCAGCAGAAATATAAAATAAATGCAGAATCACTATAAACATATAGTTTATAACTTAAAGCTGTCAGGAGAACACAGTTATACTGGTTTTACATTCTTTATCTTTTTATTATATATGCAGAAGTTTGCTAATACATATTACAGATCATCTGCATGCTGTTGATCTTGGGCACTGATGGAAAAATAGGCAAAGCTTGCGTGTATGCTTCTCATTTGATCTGCTGAAATATAATTTATAATCAGTACACACCCTATGATACATGTACTGCCACACAGAAGATCATGTCTCATTTCACTGGTATTTACCATAAAGTTTATGTATTTGAGAAACAGCCACTTTGCTGCTTTTCACACCAGAAGCACTATAAAGTGACTGCACCTTCAAAATGCATACTTTCAACCAGCTGACCAAGTATCTATTTTGTATTAAAAAAAATACTGATAGATAAGGTATGTAAATAGATTTGTTTAGTCTCTGTAGACTTTAGTTCAAATTCTGCTTAGGTCTAAAGTATAAGAGAGCCTAATGACCTCATTCTTGTGCCTACAGGGAACGTCTGTGCCCATTACAAAAACGCTACACAATCTTGTCTCTTCTCAAAAGAAGATGACAACATGAATAGCAGGAAATATGTCAGCCAGGAATGAGACAGTGACAGAGCTGTGTGAAGATACTAAGGCCCACTCCAGCCAGCAATATGTCAGTTTTGAAAGCATGAAGCTTGTCTGGGAAAAGATTACAAATAACATAAGGAATAAAAGCACAACTTGTGTCTAAAAAACTGAACAAAGCAGAGAGAACAAAGTTATAACCACATCATCTTGCACAAAGTTTTGACTTTTACCTTAGCACCATCAAAAGAACACATAAGATATACACAATATCAATGGGATGCACTCCATGGAGGATGCCAAAACTTGCAGATACCCGCTGAACAAGTTCTAATGATAATAACCAGGTAGAGAGCAGTTTCACCTTTATAACATGACGCTAGCAGAGAGGGTGAAAAAAACAAAAACACCACCCCATCAAAATTAAAGGCTACTTAGAAGAGCTGCTACGCTAAAATGAAAAGCCCGAGATTCCAAAGCTGCTACAAGTAGCACATCCTTCTCTGTGTACTCCCTGGTCTACGTATTTTGAAAGAAACTAATTCCACGCATGAAGAGGAGGGAAACCTGGTAGCAAGAGATGATGCACCTTTTCCTCCCAAAGCAGGACACTTCAAGGAGAGATCTACAAGAGGAATCTCTTCTTCCAAAGAGACCATTTTACAGACATTCCCTAAATACGCTGCCTAAGACAACATCATACAGAATTTAGGGCTTCGAAAGTTTGAAAATTTCCCATTCAAAAAGCTTTCCCATTATGTCTTTTTCATTAAAGAACGCCAATTCAGTTGAAGATAACTGTTAGATAGCTCACATACTTTCAACATGTATATATCCATTCACAATTTTCCATCAGAAGATTAGTCACAAGCAACTTTAATAAGAACTCTCCAAAATTTATGTTTAGTCTACTCTGCAAAGTAAAATTGCTTGGATAGGCTTTAGTTCTACCCATCCATTATGAAATATTTTCTCTCACGGTAAGATTTTATGAGCTATTAGAATTTTCTGCTAAACAAGTTAACAAAGCATTGTCAGTTTTCACTTGCAGCTTCCGTATTTCCAGAAATCCTGATTGATGAAGTATTTCTTTGCCCTGCCTTCCCATTTACACATATATAGAAGAGACAAGACAGCAAATTTAAAGCAAGTGCCCATTTTAGAAGGGAGAAAAGACAGCATTCATACAGATCTCCTAGTATTGCTTTTGGCAAGTTCCCAGCACTCCTTCTGAAAAGCTGGATGCATATAGTATTAAGTAATTTAATGATAAGAGCAAAGGAAAAGCAGCAAGTTTACCTGCTGATTGTATACGTTAAGTGACCAACGAGAAGCAGCCTACAAAAGGATCTCTTGTTACTGCTTAAGGAATTTTGTTCAACTCAGGTAGCTTCATGCCCTGATTATGCAGCTTTTCTTTCAACTGAACATTCTCTTGACAGTAATCCTGTAATCTAAATTTAGACATTAAGCAGCTGCCTGAGACTACCTCATTAAAAGGCAGAATAGCAACTGCAAGAACGTGGGAAAGGGAGCTTGTTTCCTCATTCAAAGGCTGACATTCAAAGAGCAGGAGGGAGGTAACCCTCATAACAAGCCCCACAGTTGCCATGCCTTCCCCCCAGCTCCATTCCTGAGCTGCCTGAAGGAAACAGAGCCACAATCTCAGCAGATTTAACCAGCAGCAGTAACTATTAGGTGATCAGGGCAAGATAATAAACGCACAGACTTAAACCACGAGGGGCCATGACAGGACATAGTCACAGAACAGCCCATTTTTACATGCTAGAAGCAATACTGTTCCTTAAGACACTTCTTATAAGGACCCACTGAGACTTGCAGTGGCTATGACCCCCTATTGGCCCAAATAAAACGTTTTTATTCACAGAAGCATTTTTACCTTCCTGCTACTTCGCTTGTTTTCCACTTTTGTTTTTTCGAGCAACTGGTTCTAGAACTAGCCTGTAGGTCTAGAATCTGACACACAAAAGCTGAAGCTTTTCTCTGCTCCTTATGAGGCCTTACCCTAGTTTAATAACATTCCGCTTTCTTTTCCATCAGAAGCTCCTCAGTATAAGATAAAGAAATTATTGATGGTTTTTATAAAGCTTTGATTTTGTTAAACCTGTAAGTCATAAAAAAAAATGACTACAGTATATTTTCAGATGTCTGGTATAAAAGAATGTACAATAAAACGTGAAATACAGGAACAAACGTCTGCTTTTAGTTTATAAGGCATAAGCAGTGGTCCTACGTAGAAAAGCTTCACAACAGCACCAGGACTGAGACCCTTCTAAAAGCATATTTCAAGAAATCTCTTGCAGCTGTACAATTATAGCTAAAATGTAAAACAACTGTTACTGTTTTCGCCACATTCTTAGACCAGCACTCATTCATTTGACACTCATACTATCTCTTCCTCCGTGCAAATGCTCTTTCATATGAGTCTGCTATTTCTTTTTCTGACTTCAGTTTCCATGAAAGCATGCCAGGTACCGTCCTAATATTATTCTCAGTTTGGCCTACACTTTAACAGATTTTCTTCTCTACACAAAGCAAATGCTTATTCAAGATACTCTAGTATTTGAACGTTTCTTTCATGGATTACTACATTAGAAAATTCCCTTTCTGAAAGCATTTTGTTTCCTGTGCCTTTCCAAAGGTACCGCAATCGGTTCTGTTAACAAGTTCTCCTTGGTACAAATTCTTCCGATAAGTGCTTTCTCCGTAACCATATGTCGAATAGGCAGTTTCTTTTCTGAAGGAATTATAAGCATGTGTCATCTGTTGCCTGGAACAAACTCCCACTCAGGGATAAAAGCTGCATCTTTCCTATTTTCCTAACAGCTATTCCTGTTGATAAAACTGACTGATCGTGGCAAGCTTTCAGATACAGAAGTATTTTACAATTTAAAAACAGGTTTGTTATCATTAGCACCTCCCTTTCTAACAATTCATCACTAATCCAGAAAATTACTTCAGTAAAGAAGCTACTAATTGCATGGTTTGTTTAGTGTTTAGGACAACAGGAACCTAACAGCCATTCAGGAACCCTCCAATCAATACTGATTTTAAATAAACTATTCACTTTGTAAATACAAGTTTACAAAAAGACTTTTAAGGTATAAAGCTTTCAGACTCCAGAAGAAAATAAGAACTATGACTTTTTAAAAATATATCTGTTTTGCTAACATTTAACAGTGTTATGAGCTTCTCTGAATCAAATAAACATTCCACATTTGCTGTATTTCGCTAATATTTCAGGTAACGTTAATAAAGACGACTGCATAAAAACAACTCATTTAACTTTGTTATTGGGTCCTGCACACTACACACCTATACCATCCACCATTCGTTTCCCTTATTCTCTACCTCTACTCTTCTCATGGATTTTGAGCAAAATCAAAGGTATGAGTTGTAAAGGCTCTGATAACACACAGCATAGTCTGCTAGCCCACACACAGGAACAAACTTTTGCACGTTTTTTCTTATTATGTCAGAGGCTTCTCTATATCCTTGGGTGATTTTTTTTTTTTTTAAAGTTTTAGAATTACATTCTCTTACCTAGTTCAGTAACTTGTCGATCAAAAGGACAACGAACTGCTCTGCCATGAAGGGGAAGCCGGGTAAGACAGTCATGGCAGACAGTATGGCCACACAAAAGCAGCCGGGGAACTTTGTCACCTTGCAAAGAAAATACATCTTCACAGACTCCACACTCAAGAACCTATAATTTAATAAGAGACTGTATTTGTTTCCAAGTTGATAAAAAAGCCAAACTTCATATAAGAAGCCATGTAATACAGTTTATTTTATGAAAGCTCCTGCAATCACAGCACACAGGCGCTCAAGAGTTTTTCATATGCACAAATACTGATCCATTAAGGAATAGCAACAACAAAGAGAACAGAACATTACAGCTCTTTGGGCTCCCATCTGATCAGGATTAGTTTTGGCCCACTCCAATTAACACAGAGCCTCACAAACAGTTCATTGGGCACCCAGCACAACTGAATAAGAAGTTTCCTAGCAGGAAAAGGAAATAGGGGGAAAGACCCTTCCAAAGTAGACAGGCAGCTGGTGGAGAAAATTTCTTTTCACAGCTGACCTATACAAAATAGTCAGGCACACCAAATTAGCCAATTATGAGGGTGTAAACCCAGTAGCAAGCTGGCAGGAACATCTTAAAACCATTAGTGAAAAAGGAAGACTGTTCATCATTCACAAAAACGACCATCCCTAAGACATCAGTGGGCAGCCCTACCCGCGAGCTGCCCAAAAGCCTTCCTGGGGGCCTTCAGGGAGACCACCCGTGACCTGTGCCCGCTTACAAAGCTGCCCGTTGTGAGGCGGCCGCCCTCCGCCGCGGCCAGGGAGCCCGCTCAGAGCAAGGCCCACGGGAGGGCAGCCGCCAGCGCGGCTCTGCGCGGCCGAGGCGGCCCCGGGGCGCTAACCGGCTCGGCTCCCCTCTCAGCCCC